GTACAAGTTTTAGTATTTTTTGCACAAACCTTAGGCAACTCCTTTTGAAATTATGAGAAATAAGACAGAAGTTCAATGGAAAAAAAAAAACAGATGCCTGGTTTTCATGTAGGTTTATGTCTAAAAATCTAAAAACTAGTTTGAAATAATGCACTCTAAATAAAATCTATAACAACAGATTGCTTTCAGAGATACAGAATAGAGATATTCTGTGAAACCTGCTCTTGTTTGTGCACTAAAAAAACCCGTGAAACCTTTGGAGGAACTACAGAGATCAGCTGCTCAGGAATGAGTCTGTCCATGAGAAACCTATTAGTTCTGGACTCAACAAAGGGGCACAAAGAAATAGAAAACTAGAGGCGCTATGGCACCTTACCCCCAGCTAACAAGTGGAGGAAAGAGTTCTGGTTGGAGCACAGAAAACTGAACATTCTGGCCTTCATGCAAAACTCATTGTTAGGTGGAAAACGGATATTTTATACATCATCCTGAATATATATTCTCAATGTAACATACAGCAGTGGCAAAACCAAAGAGGAGACAGCATTGATCTGAAGATGGAGTCGAATGTATCACTCTGCTTCATTCTATCTCTATTCTCCCACTCTGCAGAATCTGTTAGTTCAATCTCTAACGTTCTGCTCTCTTTGCTTTTTCTCATAGCAGCTTCATCTGGTCTGTTCCTGTTTGGCTGTGACTCCATCCTGGAGAGAAATATCAGCTGTGCTGCTGCCATAAACACCTTTTTTTTTAATAGATGTTGGAGATCTGCCTATTTTTCAGTGTAGTCCTGTTTCTCTGACTGTGAGTAACTGGATGTGCTCTCTTTATCCTCTGACATTGGGGCTGGCTGGGAGCTCATCTGATTGGCTGTGTGTTTCCTGGACAGTGCCGGCTCAGGAGCTGGTTGACACGTTCCTTTGTATCTATGCTTCTTTTTCTATGTCTGCTTCTGTCTCCTTGAACCCCAGTGGGCCTCAGCAGATGGCCGCTCACACTGAGCCTGGTCCTGCTGGAGGGTTCTTCCTGTTAAAATAGAGTTTTTCCTCTCCACTGTCGCCATATGCATGCTTGTCGGGAGGGATTGCCTTCGAGTCAATAAGTCGTTGCAATCAACTGGTTTTCCTTAGATAGAAATCTTTTTAATCAATTTGACTGTATGATCTAGTTGAATTGTGTCTGTAAAGTGCCCTGAGATGACATGTGTTGTGAATTGGCGCTATATAAATAAAAAACTTTAACTAAATTTAGAAAAACACCCTGAAAAAAAATCTATAAG